CCCCTTGCCGACGCCCCCAGACTAGTACGAGCCCCTTCCCAGGTCCCCGATCCCCGATCCCGACCACCAAGTTCTCCTAAAGACAATACTCCAATTCTCTGGGAAGTGGAAGAAACCAAGCCGGAGCTGGGGGGACGGTAGGATATGTAGGGTCTTTGAGAGCTTCGAGTTGTTGAGTCAGCGCCTAAATAGTCAGAGACCTTTTCCCAAACCTCTTATGGTTCCCCCAAGACCCTTCCCTGTTATGGTTGGGGATCTGTGGTCTCAGCCTAGAGCAGTAGGCAAACTGGGTCCCCCCAAACACAGGGAAAAAAGTTGGAGGGGCCCGCTCCGTGATGTCACCCCCCCACACACACACACCCAGTCCCCTTCCTCCACCCACCAAGCTGGTTGCATTTAGCTTACAGGGCTTGGGCTACGACTTGCAAGAGTTTAGGGGGCAACGAACAGAGTGGCCCTGGGGGTGCCCTCTCCCGACAGCCGCCCCGACGCCTAGGACTCCGGGCAGGAATGCAGCTGGGGGTCTAGGGAAGCACATCTACCCCCTCCTCTCCTCAGCCCTGGCAGGGTGGTGAGTAGCTAACACCCCCTCCCCAACCTCTCCTTGTTTAGGGTCCCTAGACTTCCAAGCTGATTGAGGAGAAGAACCCCAGGGATTCCCCAAGCCAACTCTCCTGCCTATTAAGACCTTGATGTCCGAAAGATCACTGAAGGGAAGTCCCTGCACCCACCCTACCCCACTCTCATAGTGCCCCAATGCCAGCCCCTCCTTGGTGTTCTCCTTTCAGGAACTGAGTTCAAATCCCATGGCAGCCCTGCCACCCCAGGGGAAAGGGAGAGGTAGGAACAGTCCCATCAGTATCCTAAGGGGAGGAGCCAAAGGCTACCAGGATGAGATGTCTGTGGGCAAGGTGCCTGCTTAGTCCATAAGGGACCGTGGGAGTTGGACTGTGACTGGACGCTCTTTCCCCAACAACTCCATCTTTTGAAGCCGAGGCTTCAAACCCCTGACAAAGTGTGGGTTACTGTCTCTGCTTAATTCCTTGTCCCAAACTCTTCTGGTGTCTGATTTTTTTCCCTTCTTCTCTGAGGTTGGAGCAGCTGTCAGGGGACCCCCACCATGACTCATTCTCTCCTCTTTCTCCTCCTTCTCCCTCTCTATTAACTCCACCCTTCCCAGTCCAATGGGATAGCTTTGAGTCCCGGCTGCAGATGGGGCAAGCTTTCTTTTCGGCTGGAACAGGCTGCAGGGCCTTTAGCCCCCAGTCTCACCCCTGGGCCTCCCCCTCCACAAACCTAGGACTTCCTACTCCTCCAGCCCCACCCTGAAAAGCCAGGGGGCAAAGATTCATTTCTTGTATAAAATTTTAATTTCTACTTTAATGTCCTTGTTTCAGAGGGTGGTAAATAGACAGCTGACTCCCCTCAACCCAGCCCAGTAGATTTCTTCAGTGATCTCTTAATTTCTCCCTCCTGAAATTGGCCTTTCTTCAAAAGAAGTAGAGATACAGAGTCCTCAAGATTCATGGGCACCTGAGTTCCTGCCCCTTACCCCCTTGCAGGTTTCCCAACCCCCTCAAGACATTCATGGATGGATGAGAGGAGCTGACACTGACCTCCCCCTCTGTGACCACCTTCTCTTCGGCCATGGAGGAAGCCTTGCTGCCCCTGGCCATGACCTCTGACCCCAGGCCCTTTAATCAACAACTCCCAGAGCCTCCAGACCCAAGATGTGTCTTGGAACCCCAGGACAATCCTGAATTGGCACCTGCCCTGGTGTGTGCTCTTTGCTGCTGCTTTGGAATCATCTACTGCTGCTTCGGTGAGGGCAGGGCCAGGGTTCTGGGGGGCAGCTACCCAAAACTGTCACCCTCAAGGATGATGCCAACTTTCTCCTTTGCTCCTGGGCCACCTCTACTCCTCTCAGGGGACGCCTACCTTCAGTGTGGCCAATGCCGCTCTTGCCAGCTCTTCCATCCCCCATGCCCACTCACCTTCCAGCTCTGACTCCTGGCAACTATCACATGCTCTCCCCTTGCCTCCTACCTCAAAACTCCATTCCCAAATTATCCTCCTTGCTTAAGGCGTCTCCACCCTTCCCCAATAACCTAAATCAGCCTGTGCTGATTTCTTCCTGTCTACCATCCCTGGAAGGAAGAACTAAACCTTTTTTCTATACTTAGTCCCCTCAGTGCATCCATCTTACTTCCTGATTTGCCCTCCCATCCCCTCACAGTTTCTGAAAAGTCCCTGCCCTCCCAAAGATGATCCTTTCTGCCCTTTGCCTTGATGTCCTTGAGTATGCTGTTCCTGTCTTCAGCATCTCTGGTTAGCCATTCCTCTCCCTTCTAATTCATCAGAGCCATCCCTGTAGAACCCCGCTTTCCGCATCTCAGTGCCTCCTGCCTCCCTTCCCAGGCTATCGCTGCTTCAAGGCAGTGATGTTTCTCTCCGGCCTGCTGTCAGGAGCTCTGGTGATCTTCCTGCTGTGCCACAAGGAGCGAGTACTGGAGACACAGCTGAGCCTGGAGGTGAGCGCGGGCATTGCGCTAGGCATCGGACTCCTCTGCGGCCTGGTCACCATGCTGGTTCGCAGTGTTGGGCTCTTCTTGACTGGTCTCCTGCTAGGCCTAACCCTGGGTGCCGGGGTCCTGCTGGGCACCGAGCCCATCTACCAGCCACCTTCAGCCTGGGTGCCGGCCGGGGGGCTGGTGGGGCTGGCACTGCTGGGAGCCCTGTTCACGCTTCGGTGGCCACGTCCATTCACAGTTCTGGGCACAGCCCTGCTCGGTGCTGCGGTGCTGGTGGCCTGTGCTGACTACTTCCTAGAGGGGCTGGCACTGGGCAGTCGGCTGGGCCAACGCTTGCAGGCACTTCCAGCCTTGCCTCCTCTCTGCTGGTATAGCTGGGTCTTGCTGGGGACCTGGCCAGCCCTGGGGACCCTTGGGGCCCTGGCCCAGTGGAAGCTCATGGATGAGGAACATGGAGGCCACGCCAATGGTGAGTTAGTGCCGTGGTACCGAAAGCAGCCAACCTGTGCCTTCTCTTGTTTCTGGTTCCCAGACTTGAGGAGGGGAAGGGGGAAAATACATGTGAGGGCAGAGGGCAGAGGCATCTAAGATGAATGGGGCAGGGCTTTGAAAGAAAGTTACAGTTGGAGGAGCCAAATGTCTGGGTAAGAATGACAAGAGAAATTGTTGTGGGAGGAAGTACAAAGAAGAATTATTGGGGACCATTATGGAAGGAAAGGAAGATCTCAGGGATATCCAGAAGGAAATAGTAGGATGACTCCAAAGAAAAGCTTCTTTTAGAATAACTGGGGGGAAGGTGAGGTTTGAGAGACACGAAACAGGGAGATTGAATGGGTTTCCCTAGAGTGTGAGTGTATTTGGGGGTGGGTTTCAGGATCTAAAGAGGCCTCCCTGAATTTATATTGCCCCTCTCAAGCAGTGGTCTTGAGCCACCAGCAAAGGCATCTCCAGCTCCTACGGATCCGTCAGCAAGAGGCCAAGTGGCACCGGACCTCCCCTGGGGTTGGGCTCTGTGAGGGCAGCTTCCGGCGCCAGCTCCCCTCCAGCACCCGGAGTCCTGCTGACAGTCTGGCTCCAGTGAGTGGAGGTGTAGGGGTGCTCTGGGGCATGGGGCAGAGGGCACATGGGATGGCCAGGGTGGGAGGGGGGCTCTGACCCAGGCCCTTTCTTCTGCCCTCTCTGCCCTGTGCCCCTCCAGAGTTACCTCCAGAGCCTTCGAGAACGCCAGCTGGGACCAGGCATTCAGGCCACAGCCCCCCACACCGTCCTGGACCTGGATTCTGACTGTGGCTCAACTGTACCCCTCACCACACCTTCTGGTTCTGTCCGAACCTGAGCCTAAACCTCCAGTGATGCCCTCACCCCTAGCAAGGGCCTAGGAACAGTAGGTGGTCAGGGCCTGAGCCCAGAGGACACACAAACCTCCCGACCTCTTGGACTTGGGGATAGAATCTGTGCTCCAACCCAGACCAGCCCTGTAGGGATATGTTTCAGAGACAGACAGGGAGGAATCTTGTGGTGAGGGGAGCGGGATGGAAGTATGAGTACCTACCTCTGTCCAATAATAGAGGTGCCCTGGTCACTAAAGCAACTGACTCCTTAATTGTCTCCAGACCAAGGAGGCCCGTTACCCAAATAGCCTTCTATATACCCACCTCAGTGCCTCACAGCAATAAAACAAGGGGCTTTGTTTCTGTAGGATCTATAGAAAATCAGGAAGCCTCCTAAAGTACTTCATAGCTTTATAATGGGGAGAAGGGCACAGAGGCGCTCCGGGATTCCTTCAACCCCAGACCCTTCATTAGGGGGTAGTTGGGTTCCTGGTTACCCTGTCCCTCTGGACCCCCATAGGCTCAAGCCCCCTTCTCCTACCTCAGTTGGGGGTACTGTCCTCCATGGTGCTTCCCTTGCCCTCCTTCTTAACGTGGGGAAGAGCAGAGAGCAGTGCCTGGCTCAGTACCCACCTTCCCCAAAAGCTGGCTTCTTGCTCCAAGGAGAGAGCATTGGCCCAAGTGCCAGAGTCTTGCCCTTTTGCCCAGAGGAGCCTGGTCTGCGGGGCTGCATGGGAGACAAGTGCCTTCTCTGCCTCTCATTATAGGTGATGCTAATCTCCTTAACCAGAACATTGTCCCAGCCACTAACCCATTCTAACTCTCTCCCCTCCTCTGATCCTCCTGCCCAAGGTCTGTTCCCTGGTTCCCCAGACAGCATGAAGGAAGATATGTCCCTCTCTTGGGCAGCAAGGTTATGATGGGAGGAAGAATGTGGGAGCATGTGAATAAAATGGCATTGAACACTGAACCAGGGAGTCTGGCCTTTACTGTTGCTGTTCTTTTCTTTCTTTGCACCCCAAAACAAAGAGTTAGCCATACTGACAAGTCCTCTGTCCCTTAAAGATCTTATAAGGGTACCTTATCAGACAGGACTACCTCTGGCTGCACACACACAGCCAGAGGAAGAGCTGCTCAGTCCTCTCTTATGAAGATGAAGTTAACCTTTATTAGGCACAGATGTGCCAGGCACTTCACATAGAGTATTTCATTTAATACAACAACCCTGTGGGGTTGGTATTAACCTTATTTTGCAGATGGGGAATCCCAGGCTCAATGAGGTTAATTAACTTGCCCAAAGTCATAAGCAAATAAATGTGATTCTCAAGGATTCCAAAACCCTTGCTGATTTTACTGGCCATGTTGTTTTCTTGCACTCTGTCTAGGAAGAACAGAACCAGGCATTCCCAGCTGTTGCCTCTTGTCACCTAAAGGCCTGATGGATTCCTTTCCTCTACCAATGTCCTCCAGAGAGTAGATAACACAGTTGGAAGTGCTATCTAGGATGGGGAAGAAATGGATGGAGTTGGGGGCTGTCCCAGAGTTAGGGGGTCACTGCCCAGGAGGGAAAGAGTACAGGGGAGTGGTGACTGAAGCAGGGACATTTAGAGGCCTGAGGTCTTTGGTTCATGCCCAAGCTGCAGCAGACATTTGACTCCGGTGTTAGGCCTCTGGGAGGGTGACGTTACCAGGGAATGAACGAATGGTAGAGAACATGGCTGAGGGTGAAATGTCCAAGATTGTATCGCTGGGTGAGTGGTTGGTGTTCATGGTGGTATCTATGGCCAAGGAAGTGGTATCCGAAGTTGTTCCTGTGGACGAGTGATCAGTGCTTGTGGCTGAGGAGGGGGTATCCCCACCTGATGAGGTAGCGTCTGGGGTCTCGGGATGACAGTGCATCCAGTTGTGGGCTATGTCTCTGGGATAACCTTTCTCTACTCGAAGCTGCCGATTGAGGCGCCAGTACTGTTTGCCCTTGAAGAAGTAGACACGGCCATCCCGCCAACTCATAGCAGCTGACGGCTGGTCTGGCACTCCTGTAAACAACAGCTTGGTTGGTTTAGGGTAGCGGCTGAAGTCAGTTGGGGCCAGCTCGTCCCATTGCCAGTATTCGGAGCCCTAGGTGTAGGGTGGGCAGGGAGAAGAGAAGGATGAGGAGAGACTTTAGGGACAACCACAGGTCTCCCCTCAGCCCACTGCAGCTGCAGAACTCCCTTCAAGAGCAAGTCTTTGCTTCTCTGTGTGAGGGAAGCCCACCCTCCTAAGAAAGGATTTGCCCTTGCTTTGAATTTTATACCTTAAAAAGGAACACCTTTTGGTTGACAGGCCAATAGAGAGCTGCGTCCAGGTTGGGTTCCACTCTGTTCAGTTTCTTGGGGAAGCCAGGAGACATCTTGAAATTAACATAGCGCCACACCTTGTCTCCTGAGAGCGTGTAAGGAAAGATCAAGTCACCCCTGTCCTCAGGTGATAGCTTTCGGTTCCTCCATTCCACCCTTTCAGAAACTTCTCATCTCTCCGTCCCTTTTATGGCTTCTCTGACGGGAGGCCCTCCTCAGTTGACACACTGTAAACCAGCCCCCTTACCCTTAAAGAAGTAAATCCATTGTGTTCGAGGAGAGTACACAGCAGCATCCAGATTTCCTGGGAGCCCCTCCCACAGGGCAGACACTTGGAACAAGGGACCCAGCCCTGAATCTGTCACGGTCCACACGTAGTTTCCCTTGAAGGCATAGGTCTTCCCGCGGGGACCTGAGAGCACAGGTGCATCAACAAGTCAAAAAGACGGGGGTCAAATAAAGACTCATGGGTATCTCAGGCAGGCTGATCGTTCACCCTCTTCCCACAGGCTGATGCCTCAAAAATTCATACAACTCTAAGGAGAAGATTAAGGTCAGAGAAGGCGGACCCAGTGTTCAGCCTCTCCTTTGTTCACAGCAATTCAGCTCTGGTCCACTCAACAAAACAAAAGCCCTGCAGATAGCTGCTCCCCCTTGGGGCTCTCAGCTACTCCAAGTGACTCCCAAGCTGTAGGTCCATGCAGGTATAATTCCCTCTCTAGTAGACATTCCAGTTAAGACTGTTTTCTCCATCTTGCTGTATTTTCCAGATGTGTTTTAGTTTTAGTTGCCCTCATAAGGTGGCAGCCAAGGTAAATGCCTGCCTGGCCCACTTCCATTTGGCTCTGAGCCCTCCTTTCCCATGTCACATGCCTCCTTCCATGGCTACCAACCCCTGCTTGGTGTCTAACCTCCTCTGCTCATGCTAAGGTCCCATGTCATTCCCATCTGTCCAGGTCTCAAGGTCAGCGGGCTGCCCCTACTGCCTGCCTATACAGCCTGGAGGGGAAGGGTCTTACCCAGCATCATGGCATCCAGTTCACCACTGCAGGGGTCTGGCATGGGACTGGGTTCTGTGGGCACTTGAGGGACAGCAGGGAGCTCTGTCTCTTCTTCCTCATTCTCTGTCTCTGGGGTCTTCTTGCCTGCAGAGTAACATAATGCTGCTCAGGGTAAGAACTCGGAGCTCTGGCTTCCTTACACTTCCACTGTCAGTTCAGTTCAGAGGCCTCATAGAGAGAGGAAGAGGAAATCCTGGACAGCTTCCCTTGGTGGGAGGCAAGATCGTATTGATATCAGCAGGAAACACGTCTTAGTTCTGAGAGGCACTAGAAAGGGAAAAGGATGTTTGCTAGAATGCTCATTCTTTATCCTCAAAAAGGAGTGTGAAGGGAGAGAGGCCTGGAAGGAAGATTAGACCTGGGAGCATCAGAAAAACAGCTCCTGAAAGTGAAGGAGCCTGAATAACCGAGCAACTGGAAGAGAAAGAAGCCAAGCCATTTCCTTCCCTGGAGATTAGACCTATCTCTTTAAGCCTGAAGAGATGCTGGTCTTGATTGTTAGGGGAAAGGACTGACCATAGAGAGCCTGGATCCCTGCCACGTCATCCGGGTGCAGCTTGAAGTGGGGTCGGTAGCCAGCGTAGACAGGGGCCATGAGGGCCTGGGTGTATCGAGAATGCCCAAGCCCCAGGGCATGGCCCAGTTCGTGGGCTGCAATGATGCGCAGGTTCACCCCCCGGTAGGTCCCCTCAGTCCAGAGCTCATCTTCATCAAAGTGCACACTGCCCAGCTCTGGGATGTCAGCATGGGCCAGGACCCTCCCTGGACAAAAGCAAAGGTAGACAGGAAGGTAGTCAGAGTCTCCTAGGCTGGAACATCCCCTGCCCATTATAAACTCCAATTACTCCATTCCCTTAAAATTTCCCCATGTACATTCAGTCTCTGGGATGCCTCTCTCGCCTTTCTGATTCCCCTGTCATCACCCAGTTCTCTCAGGTATGCCCATCACGCTGGCCCATTACCTCCCAGCCACTCTGTTCTCTCTGGCCCAGTCCTCTCTGAGGTCTGCCTTGAGCAGAGGAACTTAAACCAAAGAAGGCATAAGCTTTGTAGAAGAGGCTTAGACAGGCCTCAGGGAGGTGACATGATGCTCCCCAAGGGAATGTCAAAAGCTGGTTACAGAGTGTAGGGTGCAGCTGAGCATAGAGGGTAGCCTGAACATTAAGGTTCCAGAGTCACTGACTCAAGGAGACAGAGGTCTGTGAGGTGGGAGCTAAGAGCTGGTGCCTACCAGGTCCGTCAAAGGTATTGGAGCAGTACGGGCTTTGGCGGCCGTGAAAGGAGAGGCGAATGTCTGCCCAGCCAGCCTTCACCTCCCGGAAGGTTAAGGGAGCCACATTGCTCCAGTACTGGAAGGCTCGAAGCAGGGCTGCCCGGGCTGTGTAGGATGGGAGCATGGAGGGCAGGTTCAAGATGCGGAAGGTCAGGTGCTTCTTTCTCCAGCGGCCTGGTTATTGGACAAGAAAATAGATTAGAAACACAGATACTTCTACCAACCCTGGAAAGCTTCCCGGAGTCTGGGCACTCACTTATCAAAGCTGTGTGACAACCCCTCCAGGCAAATGATGATCAGTTAATCACCATGTGATCAAACATTCAACACTGAGCTGGTCCAGGCTGTCCCAATGCCACCTGTGATCCAAAGCTGTGCCCCATCCCCAATTCATCCTTCCTTCCCCAGGCTCAGTCCTCACCCAGCAGCAGGTATTTAAGGGTCTTCTGGTTGAAGGGGTCCTCCAGGCCACAGCGTGGCTGCCTCATACGGGCCCTTGTGGCATCATCCAGCTGACCTGAGACTGGCAGCTCAGATACTTCCTGAAAAGCTCTTAAAAAGAGAGAGAGGGATGGGTCCAGCAGGGCAGGAGAATCTGGAATGACTGGGAACTGGGGACAGCTCTTTGGCCCCCTGTTGCTCAAGGTGGTGGCTAAGAATGGTGACACATAAACTCTGTAGCTAATGGGATCACTTTAGGATCCAGTGCTCATAAGTGGGACTTCCTCTTCTGTTCTGCAGAAAAGGGAGTACTCCAAATTCACCACCCATGCTCAGTCTCTTATTTGGGTAAAGTTCTCCTCCAGTGTAGCCTTCTTCCCTTACTGCAATTTCTAACCTCCTGCTCTGGTGAAGTGTCCTGCCCACTGCTCTGGAGACTCTCCTACCACAACTCCCACCTGAGGGCCTGTCCACCCTCAGCCTTCTCCCCACCCCGGATGCTCTGGGGCAATTTCATCCATCAGGCCCTGCAGGTACTGTGGTTTTTCAAGGGACTGTGAATATACCTGAGAGTAGATAGAAAACTGACCCATCAGATCCAAAATACGAAAAGAGGACTTCAAAATAGAAATAAATAAATGCTGAAATAAATGTCCACAAAAGGCAACATCTGTCAACAACTCAATCCCAACTCAACTCAGTTTTGCATACAAATTACCCTTTATGTGGGATGTGACCAAATATTAGTATTTTGGATACAATGTGAGATGGAGCCTCCAAAAGAGTAATTAGGGCCTAAGAAGATCCAGTGACTGTGCCCTTCATCTTTGAATCGCCATCTCACCCCAGAGCCCACCACCCATTCCCTAGATCCCCAACATGGACCTGGGTCAGGCAGATGTGGGCCTGGGGAGTGGAAGGGATGAGGAGAGAGAAAGAAGACCTTGACACTTTGCGACCTTGATCCTGAAGCCATGTGCCTTACGACCTCTCACCTCAGCGCCTCCATTATATCTTCTGGCCTGAAGTCATCAGGTCCTTCTAGAGGCTTCTGTAGGTACCCATATTGCAATAAGTAATCCTATGATGAGGGTAGAGATCAGCAGAATAAAAAGGATGTTATTAAAGCTTCTAAGTGACATAACAGCCCATAGGATAGGAGGGGACAGACTTGAAAGGACTAAAGGAGAGGCATCTTAGGGAAGGAACAAGGGGAAGGAGTGGGAGATGGGTCAGGGTGGATCATGGAGGAAGGGAAAGGCAGACAGTTGTAGGTCAGAAGGGAAGCTTGGATGGGACTGTGGAGCAGTGCCTCCATCCCTCCCCCAGCCTGGGTCCATATTTCCCAGGGGACTCACCACTGCTTCCTCCTGCTCTCCAGGCTCCAGGGCCCGGCCTGAGACTGTCATGGGGAATAGAAAGCCCAGCCATAGCCCCTGCCAGTTCATGGTCCCACCAGGCAAGAGTTCCAGAGGCTGTCTGTGCCCTCTGCCCTGAGCCTTCTGAGAGCCTGGGGAAGCAGGACTAGGTGAGGGGCTCTTATCTCCAGTTCTTTTCACTCTCCAGTCTCTGGTCCACTTTATGAAACTCCAGGGGAGGGAAATTGGGGGGAGTGGCAGTAGGTGGTGACTCAGCCCAGAGATGTGTTGCAATTCACCATTAACCCCTGTCCTGCCAGAGAGCAGAAGTCAAGATAAGCCTCCAACCCACTCCCCCAGGGTCCTCTGGTGGAGATAGGAAGATATTTCATATTGTCCTGTGGGTGGGTATCCTGGCAGGATTGGAAGCAGAATATCTGCAGAGACTCAGGATAGGGGCTATGGCCATCCCCTAAAGCTGGACATTCTTGTGCCCCAGGGATCCCGGGGCAGCAACCCCCTCATCTACAACCTTCAGGTCTCCCTGTTAGCTCTAGGATAGGGAAAAAAAAAAACTAAGAGGTAGGAAGCAGGTTGCTTAGATGCTTGGGTTTCAGGTGAAGGAATGAAGGATGAGATCTCTGTTTTTTCGCATCCAAGACCGAGTTGGGAATTGAAACGCTCTGGAAGCCTACTTGTGTCTGCTTTAATAAAAAGTCATCATATCAAGCATTTAATGAGTCTGGAATGCATGGGTGAGACTAGGGGTTAACAGAGACACAAAGAAGTAAATGGCTGGAGCCTACCTGCAGGGAGCTTACAGATATAGGGTGAGTCCAACCCAAATACGTGAATACAGGATGCCAGGCAGGAGGTGCCCCATCCTAGGGGTCATGGGGCTATGGGGGGGTTCACCGAGAAGGCAGGCTTTTAGCTGGACTGTGAAGGCTGGCTATGAGTTAGATGGAGTAAAAGAGTCTTAAGGCACAGGGACAGGGCAGGTCTTGAGTAAAAGTACAGAGCTGAGAAATGCCAGCTGTGCTCAGTGACTAGGTTCTGAGGGTCTGCTTCATGCACCAGAGTCCCCAGTGCCCACCCCAGGCTAGCCCAAGGCTTCGGGTGGTGCTTAATAAATCTTTGTTAAATGATTGACCAGAGTGGGAGAGTGGCTGGGAGCCAGAGTTTAGAGAGGGTCTTGAATACTATTTAAGAAAGAAGAGAAAAATTTACATTAAAAAAAACCCTACTTTGTGTTAGGTGCTTTATATATCATCCCATTTAACTCTCACTATCCTCCTAAGAGGGAGGAATTACTCTGGCCATTTTTTATGAGAGGAAATGGAGACCCAGATAGGGAAACGGTGACTGAGGACATGGAGCTCCTAACTGATTCAAATCCTTCTGCCAACTCCTTTACCCATTCCCCTTCGGTGTGCTACAGCGACTCTTAGAGCTTTGTTCTCTGAGTGGTTGGGAGCCACGGAAGTTTCCACCATCATTTGTGCATCACACAACATTTACATGCTGTTTGAACTCAGGGAAGTAGGGATAGGAGTAGGGGAAAGGGTTACTGAACTCATGTTCTCAGTAGGACCCCAGTTCTGAGCCCTTCCCCACCTCCCCAGGCTTAAAGTCTGACAGGCCACCAGGGAACCCTTCTCACCCCAGGATCGAGGTGGGGGATACCTCTGACAAATATAGCTGCCCTCAATGATGCTGGTCCTCTTGACCCACTCAGCGGTCAACTGGATAACAATCAAATGACTAAGTCCCAAACGGCCAGTGACAGGCAAGGAAGGACAGAGCCTCTGACTGATGAGTGACAGAAGCCATGACTAAGGCCATGACCAAGGCTGATTCCCCAGGAAAAGAGGGAGCTTGGAAACCATCTCCATTCAGCCTCTTTCCACCCCTCACCCTTCAATCCCTCTTCTTTTGAGAACAGAACATGGGCCAATTGGAAATTATATATATATTTTTTCCGATTGAAGTCTTCACTACCTTTTTTTGAACAAAAGTTATCCATTGCTCATTGTAGTAAATTTGGAAAATACCAAAATAAGCAAGGAAGAAAATGAAAACCACCAGTAAATTCTACCCAGAAGAGAACCACTAGTAACATTTTCATGCATTTACTTGAAACTATCTGTGGCTCTAAGTTCAGCTCCAGCTCTGCCAGCCCAGCTCAGTCCCTGGAGACTGAGTGGGATAAAAGAGAAAATGATAGGAAGTAGTGAGGACAGTGGGGAAGGGCCGGGAGCTGATGGGGGTGTGGGGAGAGGAGGACACAGGGGAAAGCGGTGGAGTAAGATGAATGTGATAGCACATTACTCCCTCCCCTTAGACACCTCATAAAACAAACAAACAAAAGAAGTGGAGAGGAAGCCTAGGTTTGTTAGTGTGTTAGTGAAAGAGATGGTGTTTATTATAAGAGGTGAACGATGGGCACTCACTGTCACTCTGGCCTCAGAAGACCCAGGAGATGGAACCACATTCTAGATGCAAAGGAGAGAGCAGAGTGAAACAGTAAATGCTGCCAAAAAGTTTATCTCATTTAAATCTGGACAACAACCTGTGGGCTGCTACTATCACTTTTCACAGAAGAGGAAACTGAGTCTCGAATAGGTTACTTCAGGTCACGCAGCTAGGAAGCAGCAGGGCCTCAGACCCAAGCTATGATCTCCTCGGCCTCCCAAGAGTTTCTGCAGGCACCCAAACAAAACTCCCTAGAGCCAGGAGCTGCAGGCTGGGCATGTGCACAAAGATGGCATGACTAACTGTTCCCCAAACGGCGTCATGACCAGCCCTTCCGCCGGCCCCCTCTCCCTGAACGGGCTGAGCCAGCTCTTTTCCCCACTGAATTCGTCACCTCTCACTGGGGGAGATGTGGGAATGTGTGCAAAGGGTTGGACCTGTGGTCTGCCTGCCCCGAAAAGGGAACTTGAGTCTGACAGCAAGAACTTCTGGGTTCTTTGGCTGGCTTGCTCCTGCCCTGCAAACTGGTTTCCTTTTCTGCTCATAGTTTGTGGCAGAAGAGTTTGTACAGAAATATGTTTAATTGAAATATTTTAAACTGTAGCGGCAGGGAGTAGGTGAGACTCTTGAGAGTACTTTCTAATGATCAGGGGCTACAGGGCTTTGGATGGAGGGCAAAGGTTTGTAGAGGTCTCTCAGCCCAGGAGGAGCCAATCTCTAAACCAGCCCCCAGCCCCCTGGACAGCCATCCATACCGAATAGGGTGGCCTGGAGGGCTGGACATCCTAGTAAGTAAAGGGCAAGTCTGGGGCCTGAAACTGGAAGCTGGAGGTGAGAAAAACATAACGCATAACCAAGTTAGACACTGGCCTAGACAGTGCTCTTGATGGAGAGAAATACGAGAGAAACATAGTGTTGGCCTCTGGCCTGTTTTCCCCTCAGAGCCCTGGGGGAGTCAGGAGAGAGGGAGATTTTGCTGGCTGGATGAGACTGAGTTCTCGCCAAGCCGTTACCCTGGAAACCTCTGTTTTTAACAGGACACCCCCCCACCTCCACACACACACTCCTGTAATTAGTCATGAGTTCCTAGAAGCCAGATGGGAAAGGAGGGCCAGGATTGCGCACAGCTGGAACTGGTTAGTAACCAGGGAAGTGGGTGGGGTTTGGGGATGGCTCAGGCCCGGGCCAGCATATTCTGTTCCCAGGTTGCCCCAAACTTCCTCAACCCCCATTATAAACACTTTCCGGTATTCCCTCCCACCCACTGCTCCCTAACACGCATCCACTCGCTTGGGACTAGCCTGAACTGGCTCAGGTGAGAGTACGTCAGACCCAAATTCTTTAATTCTTCGTTTCCTGTCAAGCATTGGGGAGACCAAGATTAGCTCCCCTTCTCCAATTCACAGAAAAGGTGTTATCCCACAGGACTCCCCGGGAGATGCTTGAGGTCCCATCACCCAGTGCCAGTGCCCAAGGGATGCACAAGATCTAGCCTCTGGAATAAAGAGGGGAGCAGAGGAATAAGGAGTTTAAGATGACAGGGAAATGATGGTAACACAGAAGATTTTTGCTCCAGAAACAAAGAATTTTTGCTCCTTCTGGGAACAGCAACCTTTTTCTTAACAAAACCCAAACGAATCTTTATTGCTTTTCCCAAGCAAAGTAGGATGTAGGGGAGCACTGTGGCCTCCTGTCCTCATCCTGTGACCCCAGGGAACAGATCTGTCCTAGGGTTTGGGGACAGTCATGGGCCTGGAAAATCCACATTTGGCTGCCTTTACTGTTGGCAAAAGTTTTTGATAGGGGGTTGGCAAGGGAAGGGGCTCAGCACTGCCTTCCCCTTTTGAACTGGATGGGGGAAGGAGACCTTGGAAAAGACCCAAGTTTCTCTGTTTTCTGTCAGGCCAGCAGTGGAGGAGAGGGTGGTTGGGGTGAGAAGGCTGCCCTGATGAGGGTGGGGGAGGCAGGCAGGGAGAGGGTTCTCCTCGGCATCCTCTGTTTTGCCCCTATTAAGAAAGATAGCCGATGTTCACCAGTTTAGTTTTATTTTTGTTTCTTGGTGAATTTATTCATTTGACGATGGAGGAAGTGTTGATACTGTACAAGCATATTGTGCACAGAGTGAGGAAGAAAGAGCAACAGGATTTTAACGTGACAGAGGGGCAAAATTCCAGTTTGAGTTGGAGCCCCGTGCCACATCGGCATAATGAGCGCTCCCCTTCAGCTGTGAAAGAAGATTTTGAAAGGGGAAATAAGAAAAGACAGCTGAGAAAGAAGACCATTAAGAATATGAAAACAAATATATGTATGACTGAAACATTATGCTGTACACCAGAAATTGACACATTATAACTGACTATACTTCAATTTAAAACAAAAAAAGACCATGAATCCTAAGGAAGACTGTGTTCTCAGATTTTTTATCCAGAAGCTATTCATAACTATGTGTGCTTGCCTGTTGTCTATTTTTATAAGCCCCTTGTGTGTGTGTGTGTGTGTCTGTGTGCCTGTGTGTGCACATGCATGTGTTATTACAGGAGTGACGCTTCCTTATTATAAACAATTGAGCTGATATATAACTGTTTACCTACTTCCAAAAAGGAAGCTAGATGTTGATAGAATAGAAGCACACTGGGGGGAAAGATTTGAGGGTCTTTGAAAACCAAAGGCTGGAAAAATATCCAGTTGATCACTGGCCACAAAGCAAGGCTGGCCACTGACCAGAGTAGCCATGGTGATCAATAAGATCAGAAAGAAC